GAATATGTCATCAACTTTTGGTCGCAAAAGTGTAACAGGTTTGATATTTACAGTGAAACACAAATGTTAGTTAGAATTTTAAGGAAATCGGATGAAGCGTTTCTGATATATGTAACTGGTGTCATAAATCACTTTATGTATTAATTTTTTTTTTATATTTTATGTAATAATTTCTAAAAATGAAAGCTACAATGTTAGGTGGTGAATTATTTTGTCTACTTTTCCGTAATTCCTAAATCAGTCTTATTATTTTACAAAATTTTCAAATGTTCTTAGACGATTCATGGTATCACAGTTTCATACAATACAAAAATGTCGGTCCCTCGTTTCCGTTTGTCTGTCGTCTGTGGTGTGTATGCTGAAGATTTTATTGGACACGTAATCTCTGAAACTACTAGCTGATTGCTGTGTGGTATTTTGGGTGTATTTTAAGACTATCGTGTGGAATTTTTTGAAATCAATTTCATGTTTGTTGAACAAAACTTTACAATTTATCTTAAAATCTAGTAAACCAATTCCAGTAAAATTTAAATACGTTCACACTAAACTTCTCTTGCCATACTTAACATACCTCACAAATCATATTTAAAATATTCGGTTACACTTATTGTATACTTCCCTCACACTTTTACTTCCCGACAAATGGCTACTGTCAAGTTTTCTTGATGTTTGATAGGCTCCAGAATAATAGTTTCCGTCTGTCTGTCGTCTGATGGTTGTCTGTTTGTGTCGATTTTTATTGGATAAATAGTTTCCGAAAGTATAGGACCGATTATTGTCAAATGTTAGAAATATCGTGTAGATGGCAAACCACTGCACACAATTTGTGTGATCATCCTCTGAAACAATTTAATGGCAACTCTTCATTTTTTTTTTCGTAAACACAAATTAATTTTTTTTAAATATCATACTCTTGTATTTGTGGTTCATGAACCCGCCTTGAGTTTTCATAAAAAAATCGAATTTTTTTCTTCAACTGAGACTGCTATTATGTATATTTTTTAATTTATAAAAGTTATCACAAAAAAAATAAAGGAACGGAATTTGTGCAACTGTATTACAAAATTTTTTAGGACAAAGTCAAAGCGTAAAATTTTATAGTTATCGGTGCAATGGTTTCAAAGATTTTCAGTCAGATATAATATCGCCAAGATTAACCGAGGTCAAGCAGACACACAGACGGAAACGGGAACTTGCATTTTCGCATTCGATGGCCACAAACACCTCAAGGTAATTCCCGGAAATAGCTTTATTTTGCTACCTTCATATCTCGAGAAATAAAAAAATATGGCAAATGAAATTATTTGAAAACTTAACTGAAGTTCAGTGAAGCAATGAAACACCACGTACAAGATTGTTATATGTGTAATAAATATATAATACTTCGATCTGAGGTTATGTACACAGAACTTCCCTAGCCCTTGAAGTACAAGGAAACATGTACAATTTTTTAGGAAAAAAAAATTGGTCGAATGTTATTTGACCAGAACTTCCCTCTCCCTGTACCAACAAATCCTGCTTCTTTGAAAAATTATAAATTTGAAAAATTTATTTTTTTGTGATAACCTCTGTAAGACTGTAAATTAAGACGTGCGTCTTAGACGATGTTACTACGAATTGTCTTCATATGCGAGAAATTAGTTTTATAGAACATGCTACAGATTTTGCACGAACATTTCTGTAAACGAATTGTAACTAAAAATCAAGGCAGATTTATAATAATTCACGGAGTAGGTGTGTATTATTTCAGAAAATTTAAATAGTGTTTAATGTACAAAATTTTGAGGGAACCCCAACATGTTGGTGGTGATGATTAGCTAAATTTTGGTTAGCGTTTTAGCGTCTTCACGATACCTACTCCTAATATACAGTGTGAGACACTAATAGCGCCGTCCTGGATACCCAATTAATTATTAAATTTCAAGAAAAGTCACAGAGTTGTACGGCTCTTTGAATAGTAAAATTACTTTTGACTATACAGAGTGTTTTTGTTGTCGAGACATGGACACAATTTAGTTTTTATAAATAGGATGTCCTACTTATATATTTTTGTATTTTCTTATTAGTCTCCTCCTTGACCTTATAACTACAGCTTATTTTTGAAATATCCACATTTCAGTAGTTTTTCGAATGGAACGCCCTGTATTTTATTACTCTCCCTTATTCTACTTTTTGTTCTATCTTTCAAAATATCGGTCTGTGCCTTCGTAAAAAAACTAATAACTATCGACTTTAAATATAGAAAATATTTAACAAAAACGAAAGAAAACAAAAAGCAAAATAAGATGCAGGATTAACTACCGGGTGTTGTACTTGAAAAAACTGAAACATGAATATTTGAACACAACTGAAATTTAATTTTTTTATAAACACCCTATACCTAAAAACTCAATTTTATTTGCTCCACAATAAAGCACGCACTTTTATTTATCTTTTCACAAAATATTATAAACTAAAATTTAAAAATAACTTTATTGCGATTTTGTTTTTCCATCACTAAAAAAATTCAAGGAAATTGGCAACGTAGCAATGGAATTTCGAAAATAAACTACGGTTATAAAGCCTAACAAAAGGTAAATCAGAACATATAAAAAAATATGTGGGGTATTTCATTCGAAAAAAGTTCTATGTTATGCCTTAAAAACAGAACACTCTGTATATTTAAAAATAATTTTAGTATACAGTTCTAAAAGAACTGTATAACGTTAGTCTAAACTTGTTCATCTATTGTTAATAATAATTAATACAAATTATGGAGGAGCGTGCGGTTTGTGACTCACTCTACAGGTATATGTATAAAATTTGACAACAATCGGTCGAGTAGTTTCAGAGATTTTCTATATAATAAAAATCGACACAGACGACAGACAGACGACAGAAATGGAAACGCGAGACCTCTGTTTCGTACTCTGGAGATCAGCAAACGTCGAGAAAACATGAAAGTAGCCATTTTTCTGGAAGTAAGAAAGTGGCCCATGAGGAGATCGAACCCACGACCTTCGCGTCATTAGCACTACACACTAATCAACCGAGTTAATCTGCCGTTGTTATACAATGTTGATTTTTTTGCGAAACTCTGGATGCCTAGGGTAAAAACTACAAGCACAGGAATATGTTATTATACATATATAATTTGAAGACTATTTCGCCTGCAAACTTTTGAGCTAACGTCATCAAATTGTTGGTAGGAGTGACCAGACAAATTTTGACAGCACTTTACCATCTCACGATATTCGTAAAATACGGATACAATTTTACAACAATCAGCCCAGCAGTTTCATCTGACGAATAAATATCGACATAGACGATAGACGACAGACAGATGGAAACAGAAGACCTATTTTTACACACCGTTGGGGTTATGAAACGTTAAAATAGAATAAGAATAGCCAAATGTTAAAACAACAAATGAAAGTAAGTTTAAATTATACAACGAAAAAAATAATGAAAATATAAACAGCAATAATTAAGAAAACTAGTTTCAGGTTTAGGAATGAAATTGTAAAATTAATTAGATGAAATCCGGCAAGAATAAGAATGTAAAAGTAAAAAAAATAATAACAGACGGAAATGGGGACCCATTTTTTCATTCTCTAGGGGGCATGAAATGTCGAGAAAACAATTAACAATATTTCGTTAGCTTTCGCTCGGAAAAAAATCCACGAACATTGTCCATACCTACTGAAGATGATATTAAACCGTAACGAACTAAAAATAAAATATATCAAATAGACAAAAATGAAAGAAAATATTCCACAATTTTTTCTCTGGTTCAAAAACTGAAATCTGAAATCCCCCTTTTAATAACTAAAACCATGTTCTCACAAAACTGGATATGTTATAAAACACAACTGTCACTATTATGAATAATTAAATGATGAATGTAATTAGACTTTACCCACATTAACCGCAACAAAGCGCGTGTAATTTATTACATATTATTATTTTTGTCATTAATTCCTGTTCCTTCATCAACACTTTCATTAGAAAAAACAACAACTCAGACAACTTATGGGAAATTTATGTAAATTGCCGGTCTGCTTCTAAATAAGACAATAGTAGTAACAGAGTGATGATAAAATTAGAAAAAGTTAATAACACGTTTATGCAATGAGGAATGAGAAAATCTCAACATGACTAGCGCTAATGTGGCATTTTAATAACGTCTTATCGAACATGGAATTTAAATGGTAAGTAGTTTACCAAACAAAGGATTCTTTTTCGTAGACCAAAAACCCCAATTGCCAAAATTTGACTTTGTTTACTTGGCATTATTTACACAGCCAGTGACACTTCTAACGTAATTGACCTTTAAATATAACCATGCGAATGAAACTGACATTGCCGGTTGCCTCACATCGCGTATATTGATTTTATTGATTTTGTCGATCCTCAAATATTTGGGGCAATTACATAACCCGCAAAAACACACTTTTCAAGCCACGAACGCAACATCACATATTCAAATGAACTCAATTGTAATAACACAATAGCAAGCAACGTCGTTAAGCAATTACAAAATTTTCATAAGACATGTCAATTTGAATAAGAAGAAATTCGCGCCAACAAGCGGAACACCGAAACAATAAACCCGCGTCCACTTCCGACTCACATTTTCCGCAACGCTTCTGAAAACAGGTCAGCGTGAAAATGGATTTTCGTAACCTTCGAGATCCCAATCTGTTACGTAACGGCGTTTTTTGAAAATTGCGCAATTTTTTTTCGATTAGAACGAGTTTGGCTGTTACGACACTGTTTGGATTTTTTTAGGCAAGGGCGGCGAATTGCTCAAGAATGTTGACCGATGGTACTTTTACCTTTCATCACGGTACCATCTATGAGTGTAAGAAAGTAGCGACGGCTGGAGTAGGGGGTCTGTTTGACCTAACTCATCTTCGTGGTACCCCACCTTATGTAATTTTTTTCTTCGACGGTTCTATGACGCTGAATCGGTTTTAGGGTGGCGGATATAAATACTTTCGTTTGCACGGAATTTTCTAGTTCGGTGCTGATTGCGACGAGTGCAACGATGAAATTTCTTGTGGTAGGTACCTGGTGGATGGTGCGTGATAGTGGTTGAATAGTGAAGTATTTACAAAGGATTTGCTATTTTTCGTTAAATTTATAGTGACCGGTAGTTTTTTTTATTAATTTCTGGTACCATTTTTGATTTTTTTTTTTTCAAAATTATTTGCTAAAGCGCCAAAGTACGTTGACGCTAATAAATATGCGGTTAATTAACATCGTATTGTTTATAGCTGTGTCGGAATTTCACACCTGATCATTAATTTCAAACAAACTACTTCATTAATTTATGAAACATTCGTTTAACGTTTAAATATTCCAAAACGTTTTTCTCTTATTTCATTGAACAAACACTCAATAGGTTTCTCAAGTTTATCTTTCAGAAGCATTTGCCAATTTCTTGAACTTGACCGCGTCTTTGAATGATTTGTTGACATAAATAAACAAAACCTACTTGGTACTAAATCACTTTCTATTATATTAGTAGTGAAAACAAAAGTAGTACCGTGTCAGAAAATGTGTAGTAGTATTTGAATAAAAGGAAAAAGTCAATACTACAACGTTTGTAGCGGCTGGCGAGTGTCCTTGAGTAAAAGTTCTGAATCAGAGTGACTAAGCAGACAATGAGTGCAATGAAAGTACCGATAAAAGTACTGTCGAGTACCGTTTAAAAAGAAATTGAAAATCAAAAATTTCGCTCTGCATAACAATTAGAAATGGAAAACTGTCCAAAATGAAAAATGTACTGGTAAATTAATTCACTCTTAAAGTAGAGCTTTTTCAATATTTTTTGTTTCTGGAAAAGCGATCAAAAAGTTATCGGATTATTTTTACCCATTTAGACTGAAGTTAGTTTCGAAACAAGATGGCGTTAAAAATTGCAGCAATTTTATTAATTCTGTTTATTCTGTAAATTAATTGTTGAAAATCGTATAAAACTTTAACACACTAGAGCACGAATTTTTAAATATACAGGGTATTTCCTTTCGACTGATTTGTTAAAGTTACTTCAAACTGCTTGTCCCTGTAGAAAATAAATTTGCCAAAAATTTGAATTGACAACGTTTTTCATTTAGGTATGGTTTAAAATTTTTCAAATCCAATGTGATATAGGTACATGCTTAAAATAATTTTTATTTTCTCGAACACCCTGTTAATTTCAGAGTTACTTTTGTGTTTTAAATTCAGTATGTAATTCTAAAGTATAACATCTCGTACCTCAAACTTTCTCTTCCATATATTTAAGAAATCTAATATACAGGGTGAGCCACTAAGCGAGCGGTCCTCTTTACTCTTTTTCTAGGTTCTAGATAGTGTATTTTTTAAATTCCGATGCGACGTTGCCAAGTTATTGCATTTTTTTGTATTTTTAGCAATGCAAAGGTTGAGAAAAAAACCGCAATAATGTAATTTGTAAGATCTGTGTTGCAATATTTGATAGAGAAATAAATATAAGTATGCATTTTATTGTGGTATCCATTCAATAAAATTTTAAAATACAGAGTGTTTACAAAAAAATCTAAAATGTTACAATTTTCAAATACAGATATTTCAATTTCCTTAGTGTTCTCTTTCTCTCGATATATTTTATTAATACCACAGCAAAAAATTCTTCGCGGAATTTCAAAATCAAATTTTTATTATAAAGCCTTAAACGAGGTCAATCAGAATATCTAAAAATATACACGATGCTTTAATAGAAATAACTAAAATGTGTGAGTTCTAAGCTTGGTAACTCACTCTGTATATAATTCAGTTGCATGCATAACCTGGCTTTTCCCATTTCAAAATACGGTAGTCAATTGTACGAAATTCTACAAATTTTTGGGTTCTGATTTCATTTCCACTTTTAACATCCTCAATCGGTATAGTATAATTGTAATGGATAAGTCCACTAATTACCAGTAATGAAAAACTGAAATTTCATTAAAATATACCAAAAAAAATCGGCTTTTCAGGCACTATATGACGTAACTCACAATATAAATTTTTTTTGTATTCAGTTTAATTTTAGATGAAAATTTTAAATCGTACAAGGCCGTGAAACATATCCTGATAAATGCAGATATATATAATATAAGTTGTTACAGCTCTTTAAGCATTACCTTTATTAGTTATTTATCCTCGTAAGATTTTACAACAAATACTTTTTTAGCAATATTTTTTCATTTTTTAATTTAACAAACAATGATTTTTTTGTCTCAAAAAATCTGATATTGTTGATGTCTTTATCCTGCTGACGTTGTTTCTGCTCTACTAAATTACATTACGTTTCATTAATTTAGTAATAAAAAAAAACTTGATCATTAGGTTTATATTGTGTAAAATTTCTACAATACAAATGTTAAAAAAATTTAAAATTTACTAAAATGTACCACAAAAAATTAAAAAAATTATCACAAAGTAAGAATAAAAAAAAAGTGTTTATAATAATTATTACGAGTATTAATTAATAATTAACTCTACCGGTGGCTGAAGTTTTATTTCTCATAAGCTCCTTTGATATGATTTTTTTTTAATTATATGGAATTTATGTTTTAATTATACGATATTGTACTCTTTCCAAATGTTTAGACCTACTACATGAACATATTTTTTGTACGTTTTCAGATTAATATAAGAATTTAAAATTTTCGTTTTTTAGCATTACGACTTTTGGATATTTTGTTATTTAAAAAAGTCGATAAACGGAAAATTATGTAAACAATATTTTTAGAGAAAAACAGTAAAGCAGTAGAAGCTATATATTTTTGTGAACTATATAATGGGGAATATGCCCTTATCAAAATTTATTTAATAATGTTTATTATTATTTAAATAATGTTAGTATCGCATCAAAATTTTAAGAAGGAATCTGATACGTAGCCTACAAAATAAATCAAAATTTTATAGCCCGAAGTTATTTTTTTATTTAAAATAATAAATGTCTCAACATGACGTCATCTTTTTTTCGAAGAGATTGATTTGAGAAATTTATTGTAAACATATACATCTATTCAAAAAAAAAATTCAAAAGACAGACAGACGGCAAAACCGCAACACACAACAAACAATCTGTTAAAAATAAGAAATTTACATTTTCGTAGCCCACGAGTTGCGCAACTTCAAAAATATAATATTCGAAATTCTTCAATATACTCCTATCCAAAAATATCGCCTGCAAAGGAAAAATAAAAATACTGTATGATCAAAAATAGTCTCCTAGTAGGTCATGCAATTTATTTTTAAACTCGTCCCTTTAACTGTTAAGTGAAGTGTCAAACAGCAGCAATGCTCTAAAAATAATTTTAATTTCGTGGCCTACTAGATGACTTTTTTGCGATCATATGGTATTACTAATGTATTAAAAATTTTGAAGCTGAATTTTACACAAGCCAGATTTGTCAGAATCTAATAAAAAAACATTTTAAGTTTCTAGTTTATGATGTAAAAGTTATACAGTGCTATAAAATTTTAGTTGGTTTATTTTTTAAGGAAACTAATTTCAAACGTCTGGATTTTTTTACAAACCCATAATTTAACAATCCAAAATTATAGAACTTTCAATATGTAGACCAGAAAAAATAGAGTTCCTACATAAAAAACGTCGATGGTGTCGTTATTTTGACATAATAAACTAATGTAATCACTTTCTTTTATTAATGAATCATTTTATAAGTTAAAAAACGAATTTGATCCAATTTCACGTACCTGCATATCGATATAACAGAACATTTAAAAAAAGAGAAACTGAAACTGGTAAAACTTATTCCCAGAAATTAGAAAAAATTGGCTAAACCAGCGCGAAAGAATAAGACATTACCGTCCTGGCGTAAATCATAGCAGTTCTTTTGTTGTACACAATTAACAATAGTTTTTCAGACAGACATACGTTCTTAACCTTACATTCACATTTAAGCGTATAATATAACCAGAAACACAAATCCATTCCTGCCCATTAATCACCCCGTGAAAGCCCACCGCTAATAACCTCAACCCATAATAAAACCGAATTTACCTTTAATAATACCCCTCTTCGAAGTGCTCTCATATTACAGTCACATCCGTCACGCTCAATTACGCAAGCCGTAATTACCCATCACAATAATTTCATTCTTCAACTTTCTCCTTACGAAATTAATAAAAAATACCATTTTACAGCTAATTTCTGCCTTAATGGCAGCGGCTTACGCCCGCCCTGAGGCCGGCTACAGCTACAGCCCCCCTAGCGCCCCCAGCAACAGCTACAGCGCCCCCAGCAGCAGCTACGGCGCTCCCGCTCCCCAGTACGGCGCCCCCGCCCAACCCCCAGTAGTCCATAAGCACGTCTACGTCCACGTTCCACCACCAGAACCCGAAGAACACAGACCCCAGAAACCCATTCACGTCGCTGCCCCACAGAAACACTACAAGATCATCTTCATCAAAGCCCCAACTGCACCAACCCCCACCGCTCCCGTCATCCCAGTGCAGCCTCAGAACGAAGAAAAGACCTTGGTCTACGTTTTGGTCAAGAAACCTGAAGATGCGCCTGAGATTCACATTCCTACCCCTGCGCCCACGCAGCCCAGCAAGCCTGAGGTTTACTTCATCAGGTATAAGACACAGGTAAGGAGTCCGGACGGGGTGGTAGTAGAGATTTTTGATTTATTTTTGGTTTGTAGAAAGAGCAAGGTGGTTATCCAGATAGTGGAGTCCCGCAATCGCAGTATGGAGCTCCCTCTGCGCCCAGTGCGCCCTCCAGTGACTACGGAGCGCCCTCAGGAGGATCCGGTCCTTACTAAAGTCAGGGAAAGTGTAAATTTGATGCCAGTGGATTTGATACTCTTTTGCATACTAGTTAATGTGATTAATATGAAGCATTTTTTTGTATAAGAAGGGTGCAAATGTATTTTTGTTGTATTTTTTTGCAATGTTGTTACAGTCTGTACATAGTTTTAAATGTAACTTATGAAAGCTTTATACGTAGGTTAAGTTAGTTTAAGTTGATTTTGTATTTTTGTAACAAAATATACAATGTTTAAGGATTTTTTGTTTTATTGCACATATGCGTCTACCAGTTTAAATTTTTTGCCTTTCACAATCGATTCTTTTTACCAGAAATTTACTTACTTACTTATTACTTTACATTTATTAACGAGAGTTATATAACTTAATGTGAAAGGCAAACAATATATTAGAACCAAAGCCATAATGATGGTGTAAGTAATTTAAATTTAAATGTTAAAAAGTGAAATATCATTACAGGTACAAGAAACAAGTCTTAATTATATTTCCCTGAACAACACATAGCCAGATAAGAATATTAACACATATTTTAATAACTAACTATTGGGATTTCAACGCTACGTGAAACTTACTCAAAATAAGAGCTTCTGAGCATTACCTACTTACCCCATTTAAGTGTTACCTATAAAAGACGTCAAACACTATAAGATATACTGTCAATTTGATTTTTACTTAAAAATTACATTTTTTCCTGAGATAACTTGACTACTTATCCATGAAAAATCACTTTGTATTATGAAGTAGAGTCCGCCAGATAATAAACACTGACTTTCTGTTTGTTGGAAACGACCAATAAATCGGTTAGGATTATGATAATGATAATTTACATCCGATTAATTTCCTGAAAGGAACAAGGTTCTATGAATCAGACGTACGTGAACACATTTTAGGTTTCAAACAAACAACTCCAAAGCAGGTAAGCTTTATAAATCATCACTATTATAATCCTCAGCTGTTTACAGCGATTTCCAGTTAGTAGTAGAAACAAAAAGTCAAGGTTCACTATTTGGTGGACTCTATTTTACATTCGAAAGCTTTTTTGGGCAGCCCCATTATAATTCCGAGAACATTTCTTTAAAAACTCAACAAATCAACAAGTCCCTGAACAAATGTACATTCTTGAAGTTGAAATAATCATTATAGCCTTTTATTTTTTTTTTTGTTGGTCCAATGACCAGGTATCTAGCCAAACAAAACGTTTTTATTGAATCTGCCTAAATTCTATATTCGATTTGTTTATCCCTGTTTAATTACAAGTTCTTGACAAAACTTCGATGTGTATGAAAATGTAGATTTCTTTCTTGGTTTCCCTCTGCATACACGTTGTAACACATTCGATCAAAGCAAAAATTTTCCCATGAAAAACTCCGTTATATTTATCGACTGATGTCTAAATGCTGAAATCTGCCTTAGAACAACTCGATCCCTTACAGGAAATGAAACCAGCTATGACACACATCATCTAACCATCCTTATCATGTTGTAGGAGACACGATACAACGTGGAAAGTGAAGAAAAATAATCACGGCGCCTGATAGTCTACTAGTCAAGATACCCGTCCGGCAACACGCAGGTGCACACTATCCCTTCGACTATCGTCGTGGCCACACATGCAGTTCGGGCCTCTACATTAACCTAGCAAGTGGGAGACTTGGGTTCGAATCAAACTCAACTGCTGACACATTTCCTCGCTTTCATAGAGGCCTTGTTGTGTTTTCTTTATTATTGACGTGGAAGGATCAACACTTCAAATAAGTGGTCTGCTTTTACATGAAAATCCTAGGAGTCAAAGGCTTCCGTCTTACCCGTCCGAAGGCTCTAGGCTTTCCACAAAGGGACCAGCATCACCAAGAAGCTTTTCATTACCTCCTCGAATCCAACACCAGTGTGGGTCAACAAGGAGGACGGCACTATTCCGATGGGACTTGGAACCTCACCCCGAAGTTCCAGGTTTTATTTGGTGAAGGAGTACCTCGAACAAATAGGTACTGGTGAACCTTCAACAAAGCCCTTTTGTCTTGCTCTTTGTAGGATGCATTATAGGAGGTGAGGTTGGCTGACTTGTTAAGTGCGAAATAAATTTCGATTTGTAAGTCAGTTCATATTTAGCTACATCTGCTAAGCTGATCCAGGAGGACAGTAGGATGCCGTGCACTTCTGAGTTGAACTGGTACTGGTCGAGTTACTGTCCCTTCACCTCCTATACGTTCGAAGGAACAGACAGAACAATCGTGGAATTCCGTGCCGCTGCATACCTGGCTTGAGCCACTTAAAAAAACTCTCTGGCACCCAGGTACCGACTGCGCTGGTTTGGTCACTCGCTTGCCACTTTCCTCAGGCTGTCAAATTTCGTCACGGTGGCTTCCCCTCTCCTATCTGCCTCAAAGCCTCACCAGCCGGATATCAATACCGTAGAAGTACCCGGTAGCAATTTCTCAACCTTTTACAAAGAACTGAAGGCTTTGTTAGATCTCCGTCTGAACGCCCGTCTGTGAAAACAGCCTGTACCACTCAAACATGGGAGTTGACATTGAGCTTTGTGTTCGCTTCTTTATACCATAAAGTATGTTCTACACAAGAACCTGTACCGGCAGGATCATGCTACTCGTCTCACTTACCAGTCCCGATTTCATGTCTTTCAGCGGTTTATTTTCAGTAGCAACCCTTAATTGTGGTCCTATTACAGAGTATTCGAACCAGAAGGATTTTAGCCCAGACTTTCATACTAAAACACCTTATTTAAAATACTACCATGGTCTTTTGTATCTTATTCGTACTTAACTTTTTACCTGGTGCAATATTTATTAAATTGCAAAGAATCTCGAAGAACCCAAGTGTGATTTTTTTTAATGTTCAAGAGTCACGATGACCCAGAGCAGGCGTGGATCGCCCCCCGACACACGACCGAGGTACTTTATTTTGACCAATTTCAAAATTTTGAAATCATATTTCATTTTGTAAATACAGTACAACCTCTATAATCCGAACTCACGATTGTCTCAACATCCAGTAATCCGAACAGAGGCTATTGAAGTCGATGCCTCTTTAATCCGAACAAAAACTCTGCAATTCGAACTGAACTTGAAAACATGCTTCTACTTCCAAAAATGACGCAAGATCTTTCTGCATATGTTGTGCGGAATATTTTGAGATTTTTAAAAATTGCGATATTTCAAAGCACTGAATTAATTAACTAATTCTGGAAAAACGGATGAAGTTATCGGAGAAATGAGACCCGAAATCTACAAGAGAAAGTATTTCGTTAAATTTCGAAAATCATCGAAAATGTATAGAAATTTGCATGACAAAAATTCCATTTTTGAAAAAGTTTCCTAAAAATTCTGAAAAAAATCAGGGATATATATCCCGACGTGCTGCTTCCAAAAATATACCATGTTTGTGGTAAAGGAGCAATATTTTCGGAAAATTCGCTGTGAAATTCGAATTTTCCGAAATTTTTAAAAATTGCGATATTTCAACTGGACGACTCTGGAAAAATGGTTTAAGTTATCGAAGAAATGAAGCCAGAAGTGACTTCTGAGGTTCAAAATCTACAAGAAAATATATTTAGTTAAATTTCGAAAATCGTTGAGAATGGGTCGAAATTTGCATAATGGCGGTAATGCGAATACATAATGGAAAATTTCATTTTTGAAAAATTCGTCTAAAAATTCTGAAAAAATTCAGGGTATAGATCCCGGGGTGTGGATTCCAAAAAGATAGCGTGTTTATGGTCACGAAGTAATATTTTTTTAGAATGTATCTATTATCCATTGTTGCTCAAGAATTCTTTAGTTTTATTTAATAAAATTTAGGTTTCTTTCTTGAAGTTTGTTTTCAGTTGTGTATGAAGTTGTTATTCAATTCCCTTTCAGATTTTTTGGAAAATTGCTGATCCAAACAAATCGTTAATCCGAACACACCTTGTTCCCAATTAATTAGGATTATCGAGGTTCTACTGTACACTACACGTGTAATGAAAAGAACCAAATGTCACCCATGTTATGTGAAAAAGAGTATACTAGCTAAAATTTTATAAATTTTTTTGTTTAGAACGAATTTCTGGTAGATAGGTAAAATCGCACAAAAATTGACCCCCCTCCCCCTGAACGAAATCCTGTATCCGCGCCTGACCCAGAATGTTTTTTTTTAATGCCAAAGAATCTCAGGAACCCCATAGTCTGGTTTTTTATATGCCAAAGAATCTCTTGGATTTCAAGTGTGATTTTTTAAAGGTCAAAGAATATCGGGGGCTGCTAGTGTGACATTTTTTAAATGGCAAAGAATCTCGGGGAACTGAGGTGCGTTTTTTTTTTAAATGCCAAAGTCAAAGAATCTCGGGGTCCCCAAGTGTGACTTTTTTTAAATGTCAAAGAATCTCGGGGCTCTCGAGTGGAATTTTTTTTTAAATGAAAAGTTGTATTTAGATTGAGGAAAAATTCATTTACTTAAAAGAGTATTTTTCAGACGCGTGAACTAGGAATTTACCGCCCCTGCTGGTTAGGAAACACTTGCCTTGACATCGGATATCTACCGACAAAGGCTGTTCGTCACAGCAACTATTCGCCACTTCTAGTGTATCTGCTACCAGCTCCTAAGAGACTGAAGATCGGAAACCTTTCCTGCAAAAGCCCCACATAGCGATGTAGTAGTACCTCTAGGTGAACGAGTTCCTCTGTGGTACTTGTATGATGAAGCACCACCACATTTTACTAGACCAGCAGCAGAATTTTCCTAACCAGTAACTTGATAGAAACGGCCCAGTAGCTTGGTCTCCGCACTCACGAGATCTTAATCTGTATGATTTTTATCTGCGGATTTGGATGAAACAGTTTATGGAAATCAACAGTGTCCAGAAATTATCGAAGAGCTTCAACAACGACTGGAAGTGGCAGCCGCTACAGTTCGTGAAACTCCCGGAGTTTTTTACATATCCGTGCAAACATGTTGCATTATCCTGAAGCCTGTATTGCTAATCAAGGACAATATTTTCAACATTTATTGTTAAAAGGTAGTAGCATTCTAAGTCACTCTTATTTTTGTTGTAATAAACAATGTGGAATCGTTGTGGCAAAAACCAAACATCTGTCAGAATAAAAAGTCGATCACCATGAAGCATTACCAAAAACCGGTCCTTCTCAGGACCACTATTTCTTTCAACAACTAATAATAATCTTTGGCACTGATCTTTAACGATGACTGAACACATGAATGAACGAATGATAACCAACAAAAAGTCGGTTTTACATTTAATTGAAACTGAAAATATTTACACCGTTTTATTCGAACGTTTTTTCCACCTACTATTTAAAATATGGATCAGTGGCATCGCATCGAGGGTGATGCTTGGGAGTGTTGCGCCATTCAACTTTTAATTTATTTTTTCTATATTTCCACATTACTACGGTAGGTGATGTCGTGGTTACAATTATTTCAAATAATTCGAAATTATCCTGTATGTAGAAAATTTCCAAAGGTGTAAGACGGTTGAATTCAAAACCGAATCTGTACACTTCTGGACCTTGTAAAACATGTCAGTAAGGCAACTCCATAAGGATATGTCTGGCAGTTAGTACTCCGTACTCCCGTCTTGCGCCTTGCCCGCCTGTAGGTTCTAAGGTTTTCGCCGAGAGGAAAGTTCATTATCAAGAAGCTTTTTACTAGACCAACTAGGTTACCAGATCTGACCTATCTGACGAACAAAGATCTCTGGCATTGACGTAAGTAATGTCATTTTAGAATCAGCGATGCCAGCTCCATCACCTTATCACATGTCTATTTCGCTTAAAAAAGTTTTCGATGGCACGATGTAGAAGTACGATGGGAAGAAATTTAGACCCGTAGCGAATAAACAAGTACTTGTTGTGGTATGTATAGTTATTAACACTTTACATTTTTAGAAATACATTACTTTCTGTTAGTTTACAACGTGCTAACAAGTATTTTTTTCTTAAATTCAAATATGGGTAACCGTTTCAAGATCTACACTTTCACGTTTAGCAGCAAACTATGAAAAAAGTATTTTTTTATTTATGTATTTATAGTTATAAATTCCACTTTTCGCCATATATGAATTTAGTGCGTCTACTAACATAAAATATACTACTTATGGTCGGCATATTTTTAAAGTTGAACTTCCTGATTTTAAAATTTTAAGAGCTGAAAGATGCTTAATTGAAAGGCGCCATCTACCCATAAAAGCATTTATTGCTACCCACAGTTGTGCACAGTTCATGATAGATCCCATACTGAAAACGTGCCGGAAAACAAATCTTTCGCTTTAAAGTCAGCAGAGGACGACTCTTACTATAAACAAATAACGTTATTACTTAGATAACCAATTATACAAACGTTTCAAACTTTTGAGTATTATAATTAATATTGTAATCCAAAGAATTTATGTAACGTATGGTATATGGATTGAACAACATGTCAACAAATTGTCAAAAGAACATTAAAAAAGTAATTTATAATGTCCAGCACATTGTAATTTATGAGGTCTGGATTGTGTTACCAGAGAATATCATAATAGTAACACTGAAACTGAAGAGACAGAGTTTATATTTATAACATACATTGTTGTTGCTACTAATAATTGCACAATTCAATAATTAGAGTAATTACTATTATTTCGAATTAATGAGACAGCTACTTGTTTGAACTCGATTGTAATAAATAATAATAATTTAGTAATACAGTACCTAGGTAATATTAAATTAAAATACATTTATAACAACAAACAATTAACACAATAATTTTTTTCCTTCAACAAGAAAAATTGACATGCCTCATTTCCAGTTTCGAATTTGTTATTTTTAATAGCAAAGTATTGCTTACCTCAATTCAAATTCAAATAAAACAAGTATTTTCAGAGTTACATAAAAATTATCAAATATTAAATAAGTAATCTTTTTTCTTTAATCCTTCATCTATAGATCATGGAACTCAAAGCAAAATAAAACCAAGAGAACGTCATTTCCCTTCTCTTCATCGCATCCTAAGCAACAAAAGATTGTTTTTTTTTAATATAATTCAAACAACTTTAGTAATTTTTAAATGTCAAAACCATATAACCGATTGCTTTAAGAGTGTATCTTTTCGAGCAACATATAAAACAGGATCCAGATGAAAACCTGTGACTATTTGTACTTACCCTGAATTAAGATTATCAAGTAAAATAATAAAAAGCTAGTCACATCTGTCTATTCATCTCCGCCAAAAAAAGTGATGACGTCACTTTCCACTTTATTTTTTAATAAATATAAATAAATATTTTTCTGAAAAATATAGGCCATTTAGGCAACATATCACGGGATTAAACAATTAATAAATCTGCTCAGTAGTCACGTCACTTTAGTTCCAGTAAGTAATCTAAACAAGAAAACAAGTAAGAAGAGAAATTTTTTTCTTGTTAATTGCACTAATTGCCTCCTTAACGTTAAACGATAAAGCGCACATTCCTCATTCATTGATTGGCCAACAACGTAATTGAAACATCGTAAAAGTGGTCAATGTGACAAGCTTTAAACAACCGTTTTAGGATGAAAAATGTAACGTTTTATCGCAATCACAGGGAATCTTTAAGGAAGAAACACTATCCAAGTTTGTAATTTTTACTTTCAAATCGATATTTATGGAAAGTATTGTACAGAGCTAAGGCATTTTGACGAATGTCTCATTTCATGCTTATGTATTTGGTGTATCAATTTATACAATTTTAAATTCATGTTATTAATCTGCACCAGTTCCACCTATCTAAAGAAACATGTACTACAAGTACGAATGTACTATAGACTTCATATTCGTAGAACATTGCATTTATTTTAAAACCAACAGAGGACGACTGTTGTTTTATAACATAAGCATATTTTCCCCGGAGAGAACTTAAAATTTTGGCTATTTTACATGCTATTTTACACCTGCTGTAATGCGTTTCTGTCTTTATAATAAGATTTCTTAAGTAATTAGTACTACTAAAATGAAGAAACTGGTATATAACATTAAAAAATATATATCTACTCGGTTCAAGGTAAATACCTACTTCCTATGTGAAGTAGGTAATAAGCTGATTTATGTTTTTCTTTTATGGTTATTGACTTAAGGGTGTACTCATAATTCTTTTAAAAATGGGTCTAAAGTTATTTAGCCAGAATTTCCTTACCTCTTGAAGCACCACCAATGTTGCAGTTTATTGTATTAGAGGTGTTTTTGAGTAATTTTTTAGTTAAGTTAGCAATTTTTCCCCAAAAATTAATTATTATTCTAATAATGGTGACGCAATGGAAAAAATTAAAAAGGTGTTTGTAATTTAATTTATAATATGAAAACGTACGTGACTAAAGTACAAATAACTCTGCACCTTGAAGCGTATTTGTTAACAAAGTTTTAAGTTTTTAAGACGACGTCATCACCTTTCTAAGGTAGATGAATGGATAAATTTTAAAAAATAAGTATTTTAAAAAACAGAAATTTAAAAATGTTCGTCACCTAGTTTCTGTCACACTTTGTAAAATTTCATTCTAATTTTATTACTAGAATATTAATCCACAAATAAAGGATCACGTCGTAATATCATTTTCAGGAGATTAACAGTCAACAATTTCGTAACTTACAAACTGTGAAACATCAAAAAATGATGAAATTTGATACGAAGTTAAACAGTAGACATATACGCCCACTGCTGAAACGACTTATTTGATTTTTTTTACTGACATTTCACTAAATTAAACCATGTTGATTAATGATACTTATATGGTTTCTATAAAAATAACGTAATGTCCAACATCTTCTATGGAGCAGTACTCTGGAATTTCAAAAGCTGAAAATCCACATCCTTCAACTTGTGAAAATAAATCCGTTGTTTATCTAGCTTTTCACAGTACATTATGACTTTGTGACTCTAGGTATTGTTTTTATTGCAGACTGCTTAAAGTGTTTTTAGATTGCTTCCATTAGTAAGTTTCTGCATGATGTTTGCGTAATAAGAAAAAAACATATTATGACTAAATCCGTAAAGAACCAAACACCTACTTAATACTCTCTCTAGTTAACACAAATGTATTCTTAAATGGCAATACATCATTAATTTAATATCTGACCACTGACATTTCTTCATCGATTGATAAATATTGGCAACCTACTAATTGAGCATTGTATTACATCAAGATATGGACATCACTAAAATGTCAAATTTGTTGAAAACGCTTTACTTGCATCATTGCAACGAGAGTTGAAACAAATAGTTTAATTGTAATATTTATCTCTTTCTTTGATGCATTTAAATAAATAATGCATTGCACTAATCTTGTAGTATTATTTCTAGAAAAACTTATTCGTTTCTAATTGCTGCAATATTGCATATTATATAACACAAAAATGTCATCTTTATTAACTTATGTGCACATCTCTGTAAAATTTCCATAATCGTAAAAACTGAACATGTAACTTTCAACATTTTTAGACATCTTCTCGCATTTCTCAGATAATCTCTTTTAATGGGGTTAGCAACATCTTTAACAAATTTCAACTTTTTTAATATCGTCGTACTATTACACAACACTCTGCACTTTCAAGAATCTCCTCATACCGCTCTCCACAAAGAAAACTCATGTTTAAAAAAATACATTTATTTGTCACCGTATTCATTATATTACAATATACAAAAATAGAAAATAACACATTGCACGATATTTACAAGAAATACGGAAGCATCGAATGAAATCCCCAAACCCTCCAGTGAAGAATTCAAATACGGCGAACTTAGTCTTAAAACGGCTGATTTGAAAAACTTCACCCTCACTTCCGCATCACAATCATGAAACCCCATCCAAAGAGGGGGCGACCGATGAAGGCGGCGACGCTAAGACCTAACGCCGCCACCGAGGTAACTGAGTATCTTAATATGGACCAGATTTGCCAGGAGGACCATAACTGGAAGAGATACCACCACCGGCACCACCACCATGGCCACCTCCAATGCCGCCGCCGATGCCGCCGCCGTGGCCGCCGCCGATTCCGCCGCCGATTCCGCCACCGATTCCGCCACCGATGCCTCCGCCGTGGCCTCCTCCAATGCCTCCTCCGATGCCGTCTCCGAGACCTGCGAACACTAGGGTCAAACAAAACCAAAGAGACTACCGGGCTCTTACCTCCACCGATGCCGCCTCCAATTCCACCGCCGATTCCACCTCCGATGCCGCCTCCAATGCCTCCGCCAATTCCGCCACCAATACCGCCGCCGATTCCGCCACCGCCTCCGGCAGCTTTCTGCAACGAAAGGAGAGTCAAAGACGGCCAAAGAAGGGTCACACGAAAGGACAATAGTACCACAGGGGAAGACTCGGGAACTTGGTATGTTGGAAAAAATTTATAATTTGTTGGTTATGAATAGTTCCTTAAGTGTAAATTATATACACCCTGAAATGGGTGTGAGACACAATAAAAAGGAAAATGGAATCAACAATAGGTGGTACCGATTAAGGAAATTTCTTTCAGTACCTTTTCAGGAGTGACAATCTTGAGAAACTATGTAATGAATACAACAGAGAGATGTTAGATATGTAGATTACTGTTAGATAAAACGGGAAGATGCACGAACTGTTTCGAGGCGGTACTAAAGTACCATTCTACTTTGTGCATATACGGAAACCATTTTTTGTGTGGACATCGGTTGTCCGAGGTAAGAAGGTTGGGCAAATAAAGCGCCGAAGAGAAGGTCAGAGGTTTCACTTTCAAAACCGTGTCAACGGTATCTCACGAAGAAAGTCCCTGTGCATCTTTAATTGTACTTTCACCCGTTTAACAGATGATTAGAGAAATTACCTTGCGAAGAAGATCGAATAAGAAAGTGCAGTAAACCTAATTGTATTCCGATCATGACATCACCCATTCTTTCACTTGACCTAATTTACCTGAGTCTTGTATCTGATGAAGTAGACTTCCGGTTTGCTGGGCTGAGTTGGCGCTGGAGTAGGAATGTTAATTTCAGGCGCATCTTCAGGTTTCTTGACCAAAACGTAGACCAAGGTCTTCTCTTCATTCTGAGGTTGAAGAGGAATAACGGGAGCAGTTGGAGTTGGTGCACTTGGTGCCTTGATGAAGATGATCTTGTAGTGCTTCTGGGCCTGTCCTACAGAGATAGGTCTTTGTGGCCTGAACTCCTCGGGCTCTGGTGGAGGAACGTGGACGTAGATGTGCTTCTGAACGGTGGTACCGCCGCCGAAGCCGCCTCCGAAACCGCCGCCGAAGCCGCCGCCGCCGCCTCCGCCGATTCCTGCAATCACTGTCATGAGAAAAAACCGCGAAGAGACGGACGAGCGTACCGCCTCCGAAACCGCCGCCGGATCCGCCTCCGAATCCGCCTCCGGAGCCTCCGCCAAATCCGCCTCCGGCGCCTCCGCCGAATCCTCCTCCGAATCCGCCGCCGAAGCCGCCGCCACCTGTAACATATGAGTGAGTCTCGGGGGTTAATTACGGAAGGGGAAATGTACCGCCGCTTCCGCCGTGGCCGCCTCCTCCGAAGCCACCGCCGATGCCGGAGCCGCCGCCGAAGCCACCACCGCCTCCGGAGGGCGCTCCGTACGAGCTAGACGGAGGGCTGTAGCTGTAGCCGGCTTCGGGCCTGGCGCTGGCCAGAGCCACCAGAGTTGTCAACAACTGGAATCAAGGAAAGAAGGTCATACTTTCTTCGATGCGCCTACGCCGAGGAGAAAAAACTCTGACCCAGACCTAGACCTTCGCGATTTTTAGAAAGGCGGAGTTTTTGGAACACGAGGGCTCTGGGTCACTTTTATTATCGTTGGGAAAAAAATTAAGAAACGCTTTCGCTTGTGGCGAAAAAAAAAAGAACCGAGACTTACTTTTCCTATCGCTGGGAAAAACGCCATCTAATCTAATTGATACATTAAATTAGATCTGGAAGAAGTAACTGAATTAATGATGTTTCACACGCTTCTCTGCGTGCTGATATTACATGAGAGTTTAGTTGTTATACAATTAGATGATTAGAAATCGTGCGAAAATTGACGGCAAATAGAAGCGCGACGTGGAATAAAGCTGTTTGTTTAAGAAGAAAATTAGTTGGTACAAAAGAAAGTCCGCAGGTGACACTTGTTGAAAAAAATTAATTTTTACATTGCATATTTTAAAAATTTTGAAAACAATATTGGCGTTATTCGGAGCACAGTGTTAACGAAGAAGTTACGTTACCAAAGAGGTTATCACAATTTTTAACATCAGAGGTTTTCCAAAATTTTTGAAAATCTGTAGGACAACAATTTAGGAAAACTTCTGGGAAAATAACTCTAATGTGGAGACTAAAATAAGCAGTAGAATTATTATTGTTACTAACAAAAGTTTTTTAAGCACCCTTGACCACTAAAGGTTAGACCGACGTTAATTTTGAAAAATGTTTATCAAAATAAAGTGTGCATGGAGGTACGACAAACGACAAACAATTTTGGACGTGTTTTAAAAAATGCAAGAGTGGAACACCGCGAAATCAAAATTCCGAAATTTTGGAAAAACGTACCCAACACCCCAAACCTGGGTAAATTTGTCCAAAATTCGCGTCGATATGGTTTCAAATTAAAAAACCATCACTGAAACGTTGTCTGAAAATGAGAATTTTCCAAAAATTTGAAAAACCGCGTGTCAAAAATTGGCCGAGGGACCGTTCAAGGGGGTACAATGCGGTGAAAAATCGCCACAATCCAGGGACATGTGCACGTTTTTCGCCAGCACCGAAGTGAGGTTAGCACTACTCTACACAAATTTCAGCGAATAAATAAAGCAAACTTGTACGTACCACAAAAGGTTTCATCTTCATAAACCACTAAACTATGATCAAATGATGAATACGATTTATCCCACATAGTTTAAATAGATATCGCCCCCACTGCCACTGAAGATTCACACTGCACACCGTCATAGGAGCTTTTACATTCACTTTATAAAGAAAAATTACTTTTACTATGTTTCAATAAGGTCTAATTTAAAGTTAAAAAGTCAAAAGTACACACCATGAATTATTTAATTTATTCTTCGCAGTGATGTCTTTTATCACGAAACCGGTCAGCGTCTTCTGGGTATTTGAAGATGGCTACATAACAAGAGCGTCCTCGTTTAACTTTTCGCCAATTCGCTTTTAATGCATGCTCCACATTCGATAATTAGGAGTTCATGCTGGATTTGTTTACTCGACTTATTTTTTTATATAATTTGACATTATGATGTTGCGACAGATGGTCAGGCCCGAAAAGTATTACGGGTTACAAAAAGATGGCGGATCTGGTAATCTTCCATATACGACAGGCGGAAGGTTTTTCGGCTGTTATGTCATTGTCTTGCCGAAATTTTATTCTAAAGAATTGAGCTAATGATGATTGTTGTTTTTTTCTTCCGCTTGAATCGGAAGCGTTTTTGGATTTTTGTCACGTCGGAGATGCATGTAATCTTTTGTAAGATGTTAGTAGTGGTAATTCGCTTTGTACTTTTACTCAGTTTGTGGCATAGTATAAAAGGTCAAAATTTTAACTGGACGCAAATTATTTTGCCGCTGAGTTTGCTGGATAGAGGATGTACGGCTATTTATTTTTGAGTGAAATTACTAAACGCGTTGGTTAGACTCATAAATCTAGAATTCGTGTACCCGTTTGCTCATCATAAATTTTTCTCTATTGGGTATTTATTAATAAATGCATGGTTGGATTGATTTATGGCAAAAACGAACTTTATCGATTTTAGTTCAGGGCAAAGCGATTTTTTCGGTGTCATGTTCAGCGAAATTTATGCAGAGAAAACATAATTTCCATTTGTACGTAGCAAACTGATTATATTTTCACACGATAAGGAATATTTTTTGTCTTATCCGTTATTATTTCTATTTATTTATTTATTTTTGCTGGATTTGTATTAATAATGCTATTTTGAAGTATTCGGGGCCAATATTCACATATTGTTTGTTTTTTGTTTTATTGTTTTTAAAGTTTTATAATTAGGCACGTTTTCAATAAAAATGTATGTAATTTTTTGTTTGTGATGACGTCATCACCTCTTAGACGGGGATAAGCATGCTAATTTTGATATTTTCAAATTTTCGTGCTAATAGACGAACCTTTTCTAAGTAAATCGATTCATTAACATATTTTTTTTAAATGAAGTTTTCAAATCTCTGAAACGGATAAATAAATATTCTTTTGTTCTCATAGTCAAGGTTAGTATTTTACGACAACATTTAAGAAATCCATGTGTAATTTCTCGTATAAATTGTGAAATTTAATATTTGTATAAATTTTTAAGACAGCTCGTAAGTGTAAGGTTACAACAACTGTAAACCGATTATTATTAATTAAGCTGTAAGAAAAAATTGAAGTGATATATACTGAACAGAGGCAATGGATAAAAATTGAGAAATTTTGGTTTGTTTTATTGTCCTCTCGGCATACTTAAAATACACAGTTTAAAAGTAAAAAATAAGAATTACCTGTAAAATAAAATAATGAAATAATCAACAATTATTTTAGATGTACCACTAAAATTTGTATTTTTGTTTGATTCTGTTTAAATTTGTTCATTTATATATTTATTACATTTTTTTGGAGATAGACTATAAAAGAAAAAGCGACATTTTCGTAGTCTATGAACTTTGAAACATCAACTAGACATTCCTAAAAGTAGTCTCATTTTCCGAACAATATGGAAACTAAATCGAATAAAAAACAGGAACAGTCGAAATAAAAAAGTAAGTAATTTTGTGCATTTTTATTTGCAGAACTTCAATTAATTCTTTTCTTTCTTCTGCTTTATATTATCCTTTTCTTTTATAATAAAATTTATGCAGTTAGGGTTTATTTTTAACACATTGTTTACTTTTTTTAATTCTCATTTTTTTCTAATTAGTTTTGCTAAATTTTCTATTTTTGTACAAGCTGTTTTATTGTATATTCAATAGTTTATCCTAATTTTACCTATTTGTTCTTATTTTTACTAGATATTTGGTACTTTTTGTGTTCATTTTCAAATTTCCTAAGTTATTATTATTTTTTTTAATTCAATGTAACTTTTCGCATCTTAATGTTATAATTTTGTTTCTTTTTTAATGAAATATCTTAAATATCTCTGAGAATTTGCGATAATAACAAAAAATATTAATTTTTGGTGTCAAAATTAAAATTTATCATACAAATTTTTCACAGGCAAACTGGAAAAGGAAGAGCGACATTTTCGTAGTCTATGAGCTTTGAAACGTCAAAACTGGTCAAATTTTTTAACTAATTTTTTAAAACTAAACTAAATACTTAATAAACATGGACAAATGAAATAAGAAAATGATTTTTCTTTATTATATATCTGGTTATTTGTTTTTTTTTTACTTGATTTTTGTGACTTTCTGTAATCAAAAAGCACAAATTTTGGAATTGAAAATTTTCAAACTATTATTTTTCTTTAATTTTGTTTGCAATTTAATGTTAAGTGGAATTGCATTCAACTTGGTTTTCCTGTTAATAAAATATTTATAACAATAATATATTTGAACATATACAATAATACCAAAAAATATCAATTTTTGATGTCAGAATGAAAAATTTTGACTTTCTTCAAAATTTATTGTTAACTTATTTTAAAATCATGTGAAAATAGTAAGCAACCGCAATCTTTAAAATCAAATAATCTTTAAAAAAATAAAAGAAAATCATACAAATTTTCAGAGGCAGACTGGAAAAGGAAGAGCGATATTTTCGTAGTCTATGAGCTGTGAAACGTCAAAAGTGGTCAAATTTTTCTTAATCAAAAGGCACAAATTTTGGAATTGAAATTTTTCAAATAATTATTTTTCTTTTTTTGTATTCAGTTTAAGTTTGTTTCCAATTTAATGTTAAGTGGAATTGCATTCAACTTGGTTTTCCTTTTAATAAAATATTTATAACAATAATATATTTGAACATATACAATAATACCAAAAAATATCAATTGTTGATGTCAGAATGAAAAATTTTTACTTTCTTCAAAATTTATTCTTAACTTATTTTAAAATCATGTGAAAATAGTAGGCAACCGCAACTTTTAAAATTAAATAATCTTTAAAAAAATAAAAGAAAATCATACAAATTTTTCAGAGGCAGACTGGAAAAGGAAGAGCGATATTTTTGTAGTCTATGAGCTGTGAAACGTCAAAAGTGATCAAATTTTTCTTAATCAATTTTTTAAAACTAAACTAAATACTTACTAAACAAGAACAAAAGAAATATGGAAAGAATTTTTCCTTAATACATATTTTTTTGTGTAAGTTCAGTTATTTTCTTTTCTTCTGTTGTATATTATCCTTTCGATTATAGTTTATGCAGTTATGGCTTATTTCTAGTATGACAGTTGTTAATATAAGTTGTTTATCTTTTTTTATTATTTGTTATTTCACATTTTTTTCTAATTAATATTGCTAAATTTTCTATTTCTTACACAGGCTGTTTGATTGTAAATGCAATAAATTAATGTAATTCCGGTTATTTGATTTTTTTACTTGATTTTTTGTGACTTTTTGTAATCAAAAGGCACAAATTTTGGAACTGAATTTTTTTTCAAATTATTGATTTTGTTTTTTTATATATTCCATTTAATTTTGTTTGCAGTTTAGTGTTAACTGGTATTGCATTCAACTTGGTTTTCCTTTTAATAAAATATTTATATTAAATATATTTCAACTTATTATACAAAAATAACTAAAAATATCAATTTTTGATGTCATAATGCAAAATTTTGACTCTTTTTTCAAAATTTATTTTTGACCTAACATAAAATCATGTGACAAAAGTAAGCATCAGCAATCTTTAAAGTCAAATAATCTTTAAAAAAATAGAAAAATATCATACAACTTTTTGAGAAGCAGACTGGAAAAAAAGAGCGATATTTTCGTAGTCTATGAACTATGAAACGTCAAAAGCAGTCAAATTTTTCTTAAACAATTTTTTAAAACTAAACTAAATACTTAATAAACAAGTACAAAAGAAATAAGAAAAGAATATTTCTTTACAACATATTTTTTTGTGTAAGTTCAATTATTTCTTTTCCTTCTTCTGCTGTATATTATCCTTTTGATTATAGCTTATACAGTTATGGTTTATTTCTAGTATGACAGTTCATAATATGAGTTGTTTACATTTTTTTTTATTATTTGTTAGTTCACATTTTTTTCTAATTAATTTTGCCAAATTTTCTATTTCTTACAGAGGCTGTTTGATTGTATATTTTTGTAACCAAAAGCCACAAATTTTGGAACTGAACTTTTTTTCAAATTATTGTTTTTTTTTTGTATTCAATTTAATTTTGTTTGCAATTTAATATTAACTGGAATTGCATTCAACTTGGTTTCCCTTTTAATAAAATATTTATATTAAATATATTTCAACATATACAATAATAAGAAAAATACCAATTTTTGATATCAGAATGAAAAATTTTGACTCTTTTTTTCAAAATTTATTTTTAACTTAGTTAAACATCATACGACAAAAGCAAGCATCAACAATTTTTAAAATCAACAATCTTTAAAAAACACAAACAGAAAATACTGGAAGAGGAAAAGCGATATTTCCTTGGTCTATGAGCTGTGAAACGCCAAAAGTGCTCTCATCTTTCTTAACTATTTACTAAATAATACAATTAATAAAACAATACTTAGAAATAAGAAAATATATTATCCTTTTGTTGTATAGTTTATGCAAATATGATTTATTTCTAGCATATCTTTTTACTGTATTAACATTTATCGTAGTTCTTAATGTGAGTTGCTTGCTTTTTTAATCGTTTTTTAATTCACAATTTTTTAGTTTTGCAAAATTTTTTATTTCTTATCAATGTGTTTGATTGCATATGCAGTAATTTTACGTAATTTTGGTTATTTTTCCTTATTTTTACTAG